ACAATTGTGTATGGAAAAAAGTGGAAGAGGTTGAAAGACACTGTCTTCGATATGTTGGTGAACGATATTCCACCTGTTCAATGAAATTGGCAATCCGAAAAAAGTGTAAAGATCCGTTTACAATCATGCTGTATAGAATAGTATATTCTGAAAATTATTTTTCATTTTCAATCTAATGACATCATACATTTCAAAGAAAAAATATGATAAGTAACAGATCTATTTTCCTTTTTGTCTTTGTATTGATCATCTAGTTTAACTTATATAGTAACAACAAATATTTACATAAAACCGCGTACTCTAGATGGAACGGTAAATTATTTAAAACAGGAGAGAAACATGTGTGCATACAGCAATATCTATTCATTAAATACTCTTTATTACTACAATTATAGATTAAATAAAATAATTTCGTTTGAAATGAATATTAAATGAAGTAAACGAGTTCGAATATTTTCCAGCCAGCTGACATGAATATGTATATAGAATCCTGTATAAAACAAACTGATGTAACCATTTTCTCTAACAAATATACCATCTGTACTATAAAGAGTACATCAAGCATTAATAAGGAGCTAGTACGACGGAGACAGCTCGAGAAAGCAAAGAATTGCGTATAAGTTTCTACATAAATGAGTTCATCCGATGCATAATAAAGTTCTGTATTGAATAGTGACACTTTCATCCCTGGGACAAACATTGGGGGAAATTTTGTTTAGACTTTTTCCTCTGTACATGTCTCTTAAAGATCTAGGTAAAATTTTTCCAAATTCGCCTCAGGAATAAAAGTATTTGCAGCTGATGTACTCATTTTTAGGCAAGGGATTTATCTGTCGAGAAAGTTATTACGCAATTCTTTGTTTTTTCGTGCTAGCTTCGCATTGATATAATTTTTTAAAATAATTCTTTAGTTCTGTGGTGATTGTTCCCTGTAAAAAACGTATATTAAGATACTGTTATGAGGTATTATCAATACATTAGATTTTCGTATTGGTTAGTAGATTTGGTTGACGGAATAGGAAATAGTTTTACGAAAAATCATCTCCTTATCATTTAGAACATGACGCTCGACGAATTCCTCTATACTAGTCGTGAATTCCAAGAAATAGTTGGCACTGACAACTGTTTATTGATATAAACTACATTTTCTTAACGTCTATTTGCCATTCTTCGCTCTCTCACTCTCTTTCTCTCTCATTCATCTTGCTATTTTACTCTGCTCTGAAGTCGCAACGTAGACCGTGTCGAAAAGTACGGGCTGAACCTGGAATCATTGTCCTGGGAACATATTATATTTCGGTTATATTCTTTTTTTTTTGTATACGTTCTTTGTATTTTACGTTGTGGAAAATACGATGTCGTTGACGTCTAACTACATGAACGACATATAAGATAATTGCTTTTCATACGGTGGAAGAACATTTAGTGCCCACTGCTTATCTCAGGATTCAGTTATATTGCAAGAATGTATGCATCTTTTTAACATGACAAATTTAGTGAAAATATAAAATTCAAAAGGCTATCATTTTGAAAAAACGCCATACTTCGTGATAGTTGAGAATGAGGTTATAAGAAGATCATTGGAAAAATTCCGGAAGAAAACAAATGTATTTGGCTTAGCAACAAAGATATTGTCATGTCATTTGCAATTTCAAGTATAGAAGCACACGTTTTCGTACTCAAACACAAGTATTAAAGCATTCTGTTAAAGTGTAAATACACATTCGAGTATAAATCTGAAGAATATATGCACTTGCGTTTATTAGTTGTATTGTATGAAAAAGGCAAAGACAATGCTTTTATCCTCACTCGGATTGGAAATAAATCAAGCAAAATACAAAAACAAGCCAAACATGAAATTATACTGTCGTTTACGATTATTTGCATATTAGTAAGCAAAGTATGGTATTAGAAACAAGAGCATCAGCTGTCTCTAAGAGATGACTACGGAAAATGTAAGAGAAAAGCATAAGTATTTCGTCACTTCTATTCCACCTGATCAAAGACGGTTGTTTTCTGTGAAAGGCGAACGCATTGTTGATTCTCATGAGAATTCTCTTGAAAACATGTCTTCTCATATAATTCCCATTTGCTCTCTTTTCTTTATTAAATTCAACTACGAAAATATCCGATGAGGATACATCTAGTTCAATAGCAAATCAAGGAAGGATTTTTTTCAGATTATTTCTATTATTCTGTATATCACTGGACCCTTTTCTTAGAAAAACATCTTTCTAAACGAGAATTATTCTCGTATAGCAAGCATTCATAGTCAAAAACAATTAGAGTGTCCGGTGAATTTCTTCTGCGAATCTTTCACCAGCTTCAATTGCACCTTCAATGTATCCAATCCATTCCAGAGCCATTTCTGTGCTGGCTAACCAAATTCTTCCGTCGATTAATGCTTTTGTTCGATTTCTCCATGTCGAACATGGACTTGCTGGATAAACAGCAGCATAACAGCCTTTACTAAGACTTTCTTTTGGCCAATATTGAACGAATGTTTGCAACGGTTTTTCATTTGTATTGTAAAGAACTGAATATTGTTCAATGATTGATTCGATTAGTTCGTTCTGATCACGTTTACACCAATACGAAGCTCTTTCACCTAGTACCAACCCAATGAGTGCAATGGGATAATTGGATTCGAATATGTTCGAACAAGGACCTTGTTTATCAGTTTGATCAACTATAATATTTCTCCAGAATGGCTTTGAATAGATAAAGATCGTCTTAATGCATTGTCCCATGGTCATTGAACAGTAATTGTTCGTCGATAACGATGGGCAGAAATCGATTGTTGAAAGCAACGAAGGAGAGAACGCTAAAAGAAGACGGCGACATTGAATTTCGACACCTGATTTCATTTTCAGAAGGATTTCGTCATTTGACTGATAATTAATCGATACGAGAGGATCGTTTAAACGAATGTTTTCATGTTCAGACATTCGATAACAAAGATTTTGAGTGCCAGATGAAACTTTATAATGTTGAGCGCCATTTAAGCCATCATCTAAACTATTTAATCCACCAGGTATCGAGCGAATTAATATTAACCAGTACAATAATGAAACATTTTCTGCATCACACGCTTGAATTTAAGGGAAAAAAAAACAGTTTTGAAAATAATAATAAAAAATTTGCTTACCAGTTAATGTTAATATGTGTAATTTCAATTCTTGTTCAGTTCGATAATCTTTCACTAATGGATGTTCGTGAATAAATTGTGCAACAGATATTTGCGACCATTCAGAACTTTTCTCATACTCCAAAGAATGCTCAACATCTGCTAATTCCAATGACATTGTATCCCATTCAGAACAGATTTTTTCAATCGCATCTAACTGATCATTAGTTAACGGAGATAAACCAAGTTGTTGTCCTAAATGCGACGGATCTTGATGATACCATGTTTGTTCAACTAAATGAAGGTTGAATTGATCGATTAACGATAAAACTCGCTTTTGTTTTGGTCCGATCCACTGTCCACCTAGGTCAATTGTCCATTTTTCGTCAAACACTTTTTCACTCAAAGTTCTTCCACCAATACGAGCTCGACCTTCAATCACAAGACATCGAACTGATTTCGATGTGAGATATTTGGCAGCTGAAAGACCAGCAAAACCAGCACCAACAATGATAACATCAAAAGATTCGATATTACTCATTTAAATATGTTCTTGAAAAAGAAAAGAGAAGAATAAGTTTAAACATTGTTTTATCAGTTATAAAATGATATGACTGAATAGATTCTCATCCAATGAAAAGAACGCATTCAAAACAATCTAAATAACTACAGTTCGATACTGATACTGCGCCAATGCGTTCATTATGGTTCACTATCAGTATTGAGTAAATCTACTTGGAAGAGTGTACGATGCGTTAACCAGCATGGATATTGCCTCTCTTGATCTCGGCATCTAAGCGTTGAATCTTGTGTGACAATGAGTGACCTTTATGACTTAAGTAATAACGAGAAAATTATTATAAGTATTTTTGTTTATTTCATTCATCATATGGTGCTAAGAAAAAGTTTCAAATATATCTCCAATAAATTTAATAAAATACCAATTCTATTTTCAATATGCAGATGAGATATGATGACCATATGTTCTCGAAAAGATACTACGCTTCACTGTATAATACCATATTTTAAAATTTGACTCTCATAGAGGTCGTACATTTGTGAGTAGATAATTCTTCTTCTTGTATATGTTTACGTGTTTACTTGTATCGGTACAATGTGCCTTTTTCTTATAATATATTGTTTAAATAGACTAACATTTTGAGGAGCATTTCATTTCTTCATAGTTCTAGTATGACAGTATTGTTATTTTTACATCATCGTAAGTAAAATAAGGCTATATATCTATGATTGATATTCTGTTGAAGAAGATTAATCTTTAACCACATTATCTTTTTCTTATTCTTAACTATTTCAATTATTCGAGTGATTTTTATACTGCTGTTGTTTAGCTATTCTTGTTCTTTTTCTCTCAGTTTGTATGTTTTTCTCTGAATGGGGTCACTTGTACTGGTAACATGTAAAACGATTTTTCGAATGAATGTTTATGAGTAAATGATGTACGAGCTACGCTGTAATCGTTCAAATTTGCTTTTCATATTCTGATGATATTTCATCTCACTGACGTGAGAACAAGTTTCTTTAACAATAATTCTCGAGTTGGTCATCAGTTAATGGAAGTCTTTTATGTGAGCAGTTGAGATTAACAGCTCAACAGAAAAATCCACACGCCTAAGAGTAGAATAAAAAAAACTTCGCTTTTATCCATCTATTCATATGCTTTCTAAAGGGAAAAGAATAAATGGCTATCCTATGTTATCCATTGATATGACACGATTGGATATAATCCTGAGTAGTGTCATTTTAACTGTGTAATGTGATACTATTTACTGTATTTAAAATATGAAAAATGATTAGTATAATCAATTGAAACGTATTTCTTTGCATTTTATTCGAGCATGAGTGAAAAGGACGTTCATGAAGTCTGAACAGGTTCGTTAGATTTGATTCGGTTTGAAGATTTTGACCTTGATCGAATAGATTTGGGTCTTGTTAAAGGACGGCGTTGAATCTGTGCTTGATGAATATCATTCACTGATTTAGACGTTCTCATCAATTGAGAATTTGTTAGTGATCGATGTAATGTACTTAATAGCTCATTTTCTTGTTGATTCGATTGAACACGGTCGACGGAATAGAAAAAATTTGTCTTTTCTCGAAGAACTTTATCGTCTGTATTGGTATTAGTTGCTTTCGATGGTGATAATTGACGTTTTTGTCGGATTAATGGTAACGAAGATTTTCTTTCTAATTCGTTATAAATACATTGAAATGTTTGCAAAGATTTTAATGGAAAAATCTTTTCTGCATGATGAATCTTCTCAAAGCATTCGATTGATATTACTGAAAGGATAAGATTGTTTTCGAGAAAAAGAGGAATAGTTGACTTACAAATTGATTCTTTAACAACTGGAGGAATCGCTTGGACAAGTGTATTTGTATTCGTTGATAAAGCTGGATTTACATTGATTTCAATGAGCAAAACTTTCAGATCGTTATCAATCATAAAATCATAACCATACAAACCAAAACAACCAATACGTCGTTTCAATCGCATTCGAATACTTTCGATAACGTTTAACATGATGCGTTCAATTTGTTTCTACAAATCAGCTTAGTTATCTTTCGAGCTAAAGATTCTCTTCTTTACTCACAGGTAAAACCTCCAAAACCCAGTTTGGAGGAAGATTTTTCTTTGGTAAAATGTACTTATTCATATAATCACTAAAGCAACGATTGTATTCCATTTTTTTTTGTAAAATCAATCACTTTACTTGAACTGCTCCATCGTCCAAGCTGTATCTTCTTTCATTTCATAGTATTTTGGATCTTTCTTTTGCATATACTTCAATGAAAATAGAGGAACTTTCAAGGATAAAATACTTTCAACAGATAATAACCTGATTAGTCAGATGTGTTAAAAGATTTTCGTCGTGTTGATCAAAATCAAACATTGAAAGTCGAATGTAACCCGAATGATAATGAACGAGAAGTGGCTGAACACTTGAGATCAACATATAGCATCGAATATCAAATTTTTTTCCGTGAATTAGTAATGGATTCATGATATAACTAAAAACGAAAAGCAAAACGTTCATTGGATAATGAAAACATGAACAAACCGTTGAACAATTGTTTTATTTTGTTGTCTGAACGTACTCGATCTCGATCTGGGATTTGCTTCCAGTTGATCGTATTTATCTTTCAATGAACTGATATCTCGTACTATGTAGATTCCTTTTCCTTGATTGAGACAACTTGGTTTACAAATCCAAACGTCACCAGCTAAAATTGAGAACAAAATGAAAAAGTGCAAAATAAACGAATTGTTTTTCTTTAACGGACGTTTGTGTAAATTGAAAAGAATATCTCGATCGTGTTTTTCATCTAATTTAAACGTTTGAGGAAGGTATTCATTCAATGATAAGTATGTCGATGGACGTTTGATTATCGTTTGAGATGTATTTTCATACGTTTGCAATGATTGATACAATTGTAATTTGTTTGTAAAATAATCTTCGCCTTGGATATGATTGACAATTTGTTCTCCATCTTTGAACAAGTTCCAATTTACTTCATAGCTACATTGAACCCATCTGAATTTAAATTCATCAACTTTGTCCGGCCGATTTTCGTAACCGATGGATTTTAAAATATCTTCAATTCTTTTCGAAACAAAAAATGACATGGGATTTCTTCAGAAAAAATTTTCGACTCACAATTCAGCGTTGTTTCCTTGACCGATAAAACAAACTGGTTTTGGCTCAATGTAAAGAGATCGTCTTTTTCGAACTGATCGTTTTCTTGGGTTAGTCCGTCGTTTCGTTTCGCCGGATGAATCATTGATTATTGTTGATGAGTTTTCTTCAGACATCTTTGAAAGAAATTCGCCAGTGAATGGATGTTTACTATTTTGATAGAGTACCTGTTTCGAAAAGAGAAAAGTAACAGTTAAAAGAAAAAAAGAACGAAGAACGAAGAAATTCAACACAGAGAAAAATGTGTGTATGTTTTTTTTTCTGTTGTGTTCGAAAAATTTACACAAATAATGACTGTTAATCTTTCTTCTTTTTCTTTTCTCTCGAATCAACATCTTCAAATGTCAATAACAACCACTATGGTTCCCTTCTGATTTATTTTTCATTCAACTTTGAAGAAGAAAAAAAAAAGAAGAACAAGTTTTTTGTCTCTTTTAATACACGATAGTGCCAATGTTGCTGTAGGCATTCTCTATTGTTACTATACAAACAGAAGAAACTTACCTTCATTCAAATTTCCTCATTGGGCATTGCGACATCAACGTAATTTTTCTTTGGTACGAGAATTGAGTACTTCATTTGATTCCAAAATGAACAATTTCTACTTGATGGAAAGCAATGGTATTCAAACGATGAATAGCGACCTCTTTTTTTTTCTTGATATAGAAAATTCTTATCGAAAATAGTATTGGTCGAAATGTTCGACCTTTGTGAGGAATTGTTTCAGATAATTAACAGAATTGTTCAATTTTGTTGTTGTTTAACGATAAATCTCGCGTATCGATCACAATTTTTGGTTTCCGTTGTTTCAGATGAATAAATGTGATTATTGTTGCATACGTCCATCCTCATTAGAAATCGTTTGTTTAAAATGTAGTCCATCACGTTCGATAAAAGTTTGCGTTAAATGCTCAATCAACGTCAGTCAATTACGAGAACATTCAAAACAACATCCGCTATCCACATATAAAGTAAATTTTTATTGAAAATTTTCCAAAAATAGCAAACCTCGTTTGATTGTTTAGTTAAATGATATTCCATTAGATAATAATCGGATTAGCGAATGGTTATGCAATGATGAGATGAATTTAATCGAAGCGATTGAAACGTGTGGCTTAGGAAATTGGATCGATATTGCTGCGAAATTATCACGAAATCAATTCGATTGTCAAACTCATTTCGAAGATATATATTTATCACGCTTAAACAATCCTTACTCGATTTATTTTCAATCGTTTCGTAATACGAAACAATTAATTGGTGAAAATCAAATTAATGAAAAGGATTTCGCAAATCAATCGATTATTTATCCACCATTGTTAATTGATAGTGAACAACAAAAAACATTGACATATATGCCGCAAAGAGATGAATATGAAAGAGAATATTTAAACGAAGACGAAAATCGGTTGCCTATTCTGACAAATGATCAAGATTTTCTGGAAGATATTCAACAAGATGGCTCAAGAATATTGTTAAATAAAGCCAAGTTGGTTTTGTTAAGATCTTATAAACAAACAATTCAACGAAGATTACAGTTAAAACATTTTATTCGAGATTACGCTCTCGGGTTTAATTATGCACCTGATCAACCGTACGTTCTTCTTTTCGTTTACTTTTCCCACTTTGTTTCTTTCTTGTAGAATGGATCTTCATCACATAAGTCGTTTTCTCTCTGCTGATCAATATGAAAGATTGATTTTCAATCATCGACGTTCGTATTCCCATAGAAAACTAGAGAATGTGAATATTATTGGTTTTACTTCAGGTATTCGAAGTTTATTGGAAGAACTCGGTTGTTCAACATCATCGAATAACCACCACCATGATCAACCACAACCAAGTACGATCGATTTTTTCGTTTTCATCTTGTTCATTTTTTTTCGTCTTTCAAGGAAAACGATCACCAATATTGAATTCGGAAAAACGTCGTCGTCGTGCTTCGTTAGTTTCTTAGAATTCTGCTATAGTTAGATAATATTCTCACTTTGAATAGCTCGATTGTTGTTGATGAATCATCGTCGTGCTCATCAGCTTCGACTGCACGTTCATCTTCATCAAGTTCGTCATCAGCAACAATCACATCTGATGCAACTGAATCGAATTTATCTCTAAGTTCATCAACTAATCAAACTGGAGAGATTACTGATCGAAAACTGTTGAATGGAAAACGTCGTTCAGTTCGACGCGTTTCATCATCGTCATCGACAGAAACTTCTTCGAAAGTAGCAAATATGAAAGAACCACTCTATACACGAAGACGTGTCAATCAATCAGATCAACACGTACGAAATTTTTCTTCTACGAACCATATGTATGTATTATTGCTATAATAGAGCACATCACAACGAGCGACAAGATCCGCTGGCAATGTGTTGACGACATCCGAGTAAGAAAAGGAGTTCTTTTGAAGAGAAATGAAGTTTTTAATCGTTGAAAGTATTAGTTGGGACTCAACAGATGACGAAATGGGCCAATTATCAACATCTCAGATGGAAGATGAAGAATCAACAGTCGCTTCTCGAACACGAAGTCATACACCGCCACATCCAGATTCAGATAGAAAGCAAAGGGTATTTAATTAAACTCGATTTCATACTCTTCAATCAAGTGTGTTGTCGTTATTTTAGAGACATTCTCCGCATAATAAAAAATACTCGAACCATACAAATGGTGGAACGAAGTAAAAACGAATAAATAATATCTATTGAATGAATTCATCTTTCAATCATTTAGATTTGATCCATCGGATCAGTCAACGCCAAAAACGAATCGCATGTTGACACGGCATCAACTTGTTGTTCAACAAACATCACCAAACAAACGAAGAAAATTGAATTCGAATTCAATTGATGAACAATTCTATGATGTTTAAATCTCGTCATTTTTCTTTTCTTCTTGTATATTTCATCTCAATTATTATTTGAAAAA